CAGAAATTACATGCCAGCCTGGGCTGCATAGTGAGATACTGTCTCAAAAACAAAACAAAACAAAACAAAACAAAGCAAGCAAACAAAAAAGTGAGAACTAGTCTTATCTGTTCAGAGTGCGTGAAGTATTTGAGGATCTGAATACAATTTCAGAAGGTGTGGCCAGGTAAAATATAGGACACCAGCTCAATCGGAATTTCAGATAAGCAGTGACTTTTTTTCCTAGTATATGCCCCAAATATTTCATGGGAAATATTTGTACGAAGTATTATTTTTCCAAAATTTAAATTTAACTGGGCATTCGGTATTATTTTCTTTCCTTTACCCGGCAGCCCTCCTTATGGGCCATTAGAAAACACATCCCTCTCCTCGCTTATTTCCCTCACCTGTCTCCTCTACTTTCTGCTCTGGTGGTGTAGAAAAGAGCTCCAAAAGGCCCCAGAGACCCAGAAACCGTGGGAGATGGTTGGCAGGTGCTGAGGACAGCGAGCTTGTTAACCTTCCAGCAAAGACTGTCTCCAAGGGAGATGTGAGTGGTGAGCGAATGCAGATGGAGAGGAGGAGGCTTTTATTGGGCAGGGAAGGACGAGGGACTGAGCCCAGGACTGAGCTATATCCTTTTTACTTTTTTTACCTTTTCTTATTTTGAGACAGGGTCTTGCTAAGTCATTAAATTGCCCTTTTTACTTTTTTTACCTTTTCTTATTTTGAGACAGGGTCTTGCTAAGTCATTAAATTGCCCAGGTTGGGCTTGAGCTTGTGATCTCCCTGCCTCTGCCTCCTAGATTAAAGGTGGCACCACAACCCTTTCCTGAGGCTTCTTTAGAGAGGGGACCTTGATACCTTGCAAACATAAATTTTGAATGAAAACATCAGAGCTAGAGAACATAAGATTCTAGAACAGGATTGTGGAAAAATGGACAGTTAAAGAAAAACATATCTGGCCCAGACCTAAACAGAGGCAATAATTCCCTAGCCATATCTGGCTAAGGAATTTTATAAAATTCTTAGCAAGGAGCAACCAGACATTGCATAATAACTGATATATGCATATTAATGCACATTGTATCTGTGTTCATTGATATGTAAACTGGTTGTGATCTCCACTCCGAAGGTCACATTCATTCATTCTGTCAAAGCTTAAAGAAACACTTAGCCAGGCATCAGGGCAAAGGCCTGCGGTCCCAGCACATGGGAGGCTGAGACAGGAGGATCAAAATGAGTTTGAAGCCAGCCTGAACCATATAGTGAGATCCTGTCTCAAAGAACAAAACAAGAAACACCTTTAGGAGACGTGTTTTAGATGGATTCCTGGGTGTATGTGAGTTCTGCCTGAGCACTCTTGCATTCCCGGAATGGTTAATACTGGGGATTCCTGGAGGAGAAGGCTTTATCCTGATTTTCAGTGTGGGATGGGAACAGGAGCCTGGCTACTACACAGGGACCTCCCTTTGCGGGGACAGAGCAGGACACGGGCGGATTATTGCCACACGGGTGGTGAGTCGAAGATCAAGGGAGGGGCTGGGTGCTACACAAAGGAGATTCTGGCCTGGTCTGAGGTGTTCCTGGAAGGCTTCCTTAGACAGGCAGTGCCTGAGCTGAGTCTTAAAGAATAAAGTTTAAGTGAGAAAAAGGGAAAGGTGTTTTCCAGAGACGAAGGTTACAGGGCGCAAACTCAGAGTTAAACTCAGAGGCAAATAGTCAACTGCCAACCGCCAGGTGGGGAGAGAAGAGAGAAGGGGCACCAGGAACAGGCAAAGGGAGGTCCCAGAGCTCTGGGCACCGGAGCTCACATTTTCTTTCTTAGTCATGAGCAAGCTCCCAAAGCTTCAGAAAGCGGAGTAATAGGGCCAAGTCGAGTTCTAAGGAAAGGTTGTAAGCACTGGAAGGGAGGAGGAGACAGAATAGCTGCAGGGAGACCACATGCATGATTATTAATTATTATCATAAGGTGGGAACTGACTGAGATTTGAGCTACAGCAGTGTAAGCAACAGAGAATGAATGAATGAACTCAATACATAACCACCTGAAAGACCAGTAAGGTGTAGCCACAGATCACATGGGGGATATGAAGAGCCTTGGATGAGATTAAGAGGCAAAGGAGGGCGTTCGGCTTGGTGCCTGGGCAGCACCAACTAAAGCAGGGACTATCAGAAGGGGAAGAGGAAGGATCTGGCCTCGGCCATGCCAAGCTCAGGCCGCCCGTGGGACTGCCCGATGGAGACCGTACAGGAGGCAAGGCTCCTTGCAAGACCTTCCAAGGCCCGGCTTTCTTATTTCTGGAAACCCCAACCCACATCATAGCAAATATATTAAAACTCACCCACATCCCACATTAAATATAATATTTGCAGCTTAAAAAAAAGTTGAGAGGATTTTTAAATTCCAATTTTTGAAATGATTTGCAATTCATTTCATTTATGATTGGTTATGGTTTTGTCAATTATCTGCAAATTGAACTTCCTTAAATAATAAATGTATTTTTGTAATGAAATGGACACAGTGCTATGTTCTACATAATACTTACTAAATTTTCTTTCATGGGGTTGTTTTTGTATTGTGGAGTTCATTAGTGCTTTATTTGGGTCTTTTGGACCCAAACTGGGTTTAGTCCTACCAAATTGGTAGGACCATGAGAAGCTCACACTCTACAGGCATGAAGCCCGTGGGAACCCATAAGCTAAAACCAAGACTGCCTTGTGAACAGACAGTTGAACATGTAAGTATGCTCAGGAGAGAGTTGTGTAAATTCTGGGTAAAGCCACAAAAATGAATTTAATTATCCCAAGAAAACATAAACTGAGACGGCAACTGGCCTAAAGAAATTCAAAACTCTGCAAAAGGGTCAGAAAAAAGAGGATTTCACAGAGGAGGTGAAGCAGCAGAAAGACCAGGAAGAAATGGAGGGCAGAGAACTAAGGGAGCAAAGAAGAGGAAAAGGTGACTACCGGGAACAGCCTGGGTCATTTTGAAGATAAAGCTCAAGAAAATCACAACTGCCTCCTGCAGCAGTGCCAAAAGAAGAGGTCACTTGGTACAAGAGGGACTGGGCATCTGCAGAAGTGACCTCAGTGAGTGTGGGAGGACATGACTGACCCTCAGAAGCATCTCCAAGGTAAGGAGTGGTGGGGATGGACAGGAGATGGCCAGTGGAAGTGGTGGCTGTCCAAACCCAGCAAGAGAGGAAGACAGGACCATAGCTGGAGTGAAGCATTGCCCAAGGAGGCCCTGGGGGTGCGTTTAGAGAAGGAAAAGTATGAGTGCTCCTGAGCCAGGTGGAAATCCCCAAGACAGATGGAGAGACTGCAGTGAGGAAGGCAGGAGGGAGCCGGAGGCTGCGGGCTGCTGGGAAGGACATGGTCAGTCAGGCTGTCGGAAAGTAGGAAAGGGCAAGGGTCCCTCACTCGGCGAAAGGATGCTTGTGTCAAAACACGTCAGCTCTCCACACAGGACGATAAAGCCTGGTGTTATGGTTTATATCTGTGTGTCCTCCCAAAGCCTCATGCGGTCTCGGGGCAGGCTTTTAGAATTTGAAGGGTGTGAGAGCTGCACCCGCCCTGGGGTGGATAGTTTGCATATGTAAGGGAGAGGAAAAGGGTGCTTGAGGCCATTCCTCTCCCATTCTGCCCTGGTGGGTGGTTGTTGCTTAGCTGTGTGCTGCCGCCCTGAGATGCAGCCCTCTGCAATGTGCCACTCTGCCTTTTAATCTGCCCAGTACAGATTGAAACTTCCACGAACTGAAAGCGAAATAAACCTTTCCTTCCTTAATTTTGGGCGTCAGGTATTTTGTCCCAGCAGCTAGAAAAAAGTAACCAAGACACCTAGACAAAGCCCAGTGCTTAATCTAGCTTTTGCTCCACATGGGGAAAGACTTTTTAGTGTCAAGGGACCTTAGAGACCATGCCTGCAGTGCTTCTCTCTCTCTCTCTCTCACTCTCTGTCTCTCTCAGAAATTTCAAAGACTAGATATAAATATATACACATCTATATTATCCATAATGGTGGAAGACGCCAAGATCCCAGCTGAGACTCTCCTGGAATTCACATGATTAGAGGAGAAAGAGAACAGGAAGAAGAAGTAGAGAGAGTCAGAAACATAGAGGAAACTGAACTCCCTACCCAGCCACGTATCAGTCGGCTGGACGTTTACCCAAACCCTGTTTGGCCCCATGTACAGTGTTCGCTCATTCAACGAGCAGCATGTGTGGGTCGCTGTCCCTCTGCCAAGCCTAGGGGCTCTAGGTTCCTTGGTGAGTGACAAATTCTCAGTGAACATCATTTGATACGTGAAGCAACTCTCACTCTCCCTCTCTTTCCCCCTCCCCCGCTCAGTGCCCCCACCTTCCAACTCCAAAGGCTGCTCCACTGTTTGGCGGTCCTAGAGTTCAATGAGTAGCTCCCGCAGACCCTCTCCTAAGCTTTCCCGCCTCACCACAGAGCAGATACAAAGACAGTTCCCTCCGGAGCCTGGGCTGGCGCAGCATTGGAGGTGGGTTTGGATTGGTTGTGTGGAGCAAGCAGCAGAAGATGAGAAGTGAGCACACTAACGTTAGCCTGCATTAGTCAGGAAAATTCTAAGAAACTGTTCCCAAAGAGAGGTGGTAAGGGAATTTTTTCTCCTCTATTAGACTTACATAACTTGTAAAATAACAGGCTGCCATTTTAGAATAGTTGGTATTGGCATGCTGTGATTGTGAAAATTACATGAAACTATTCCTTTTAGAAAAGATCACTGCAGGTTTTAGGTTAAAACTTAATGCCAAACACAGATGAGTAGTTGGTTTACGCAATTATCGCCTTTTTCTTAGAAGTAAGGGCAAAACCTCAAAACATGCCGCAGCGAAACGGCTATTTCTGTCACTGGCTAACAATCGAAGAACATCCATAAACCTTTGGAAATTAATATTCCCAGGAAAATCTATTTGACTAAAGTCACAAGGAAGTTATTAACTAGAGTTAAGTCACTGACAAGAGGTATTATTAATGATCTCATCAAAATTTCAGTGCATTTAATGATCACATTGCAAGACATTACTGATGCATCAGAGAATATTAAAGTATTCTACAGTAGCTACTTGGATAGGGATCAAGTGAAGAAAGATGAAGAGCTTGAGTTCTAGGTAAGTCCATAATTCTTTAGGCTTCATGCAATGTAAAAAGTTAGACCCCTTAGCTTTCTGTGTCCCCGCCCCCCAAGGCTGATTGTTAATACGGTGGGTTTCTTTTCGGTGTTAATTGTTCCCTGTTTTTCTTCCAAATGCTGACACAGGGAGAATAGAAGTCAAACAAGTCCTCCAAGCTTTGGTTTTCAAAAAACCAGCTCAGGAAGTTCAGTTTATTTTCAGATTGGAAGAGATGCTGTCAAGTACACTGGATCTTAAACTGCCGTCCCTCCAAGGCTCTCCACCAGGGGAGGGGGCATGCTCCTCCCATTCCTCTCAGAGTTCTCCACCCGACTTCCAGGTTGACCCCAGGTTCGAAGCCAGGATTCTTTGCTTTTGCTAACAGCCTCCATAAGACCTAGAGCTCAGCCACACACTGGTGTGGAGTCATTCGTTTCATACCTGTAACCTATGTGAAGCCTTTTCAGATATATGTATTTTACAATTTTTCTTTTCCAGATTGTGTCTCCGGTTACCTAAGACAGTACTCGTTCACTGCAGAGCTCCCAGACCTGCAAACGTTTCCTGATGTCCTATGATTCCTGCAGCGCTGTGCAAAACCTCAAAACACACCACAGCAGGAGCCGCACAAAGGTCAGTGTGGAGTGGTCCTAGCTTTCAAGGAGCTCAGAAGTAAACACAAGCCATAAGGCAGATGCTGGTCATGTCCTGGAAGTCCTGGAAGCACAGAGAACCCTAACCCTGCATGGAGGCGGGAAGAGCCAGGAACGCAGCCTGAAGAAGCTGTGGCCCAGAAGACTCCAGACTTGTGCTCATCCCCACTGTGGCTTCAGTCTCCGCTGCCAGCCTGTGCTTGCTTCCAGGTCCTTCCATTCTGTCCTCAGCGGGACTTTCAGACTGTCCCTTTATGGCAGCCCATCTTCGCCGGTGTTCTGTGGGGCGCACTGTGGATGGCCAGAGAACACCAAGTGTTCTGGGAGACAGGAACACCCCCACCAGCTCAGCACACCTCAAGTATGGCTGCTGCCCACAAAATATGCCATCTGTGTGGGGACCACTTCCTTTTCACCAAACCCCGCCTCCTTGCTTATTGGTTCATTCATCCAGGAGATGGAGAATTAATGTTTCCCTTGGGACATCTGGGTGATTCTTTTCGGAGAAAGGACTGTTGCAGATAGGAAAATATCTTGAGAAGCCACCGCAGGACAGGGGCACCATGATGTAGTTCACGTGCCGGCTGCTGCCAAAAACTCAAAGGTGGGAAATCCGCCCGGATAAAGAGCATTTAGTTGCATCTGAGATGATTAAGGAAGAAAGGGAGGGAGACGTGAGGGGGGATGTAGGTGAGAGAGGCAACTTTTTGTCACTCTTCCCTAAGTAGTGCTGATAACAACTGCTTACATAGCGTTTGCATTGTACAAGGCATCACAAGTCATCAAGTCACCCGGAGGTGAGGCAAACCCTACAGGAGGATGGGCATAGGTATACACAGATCCAAGGCCATTTATATAAGGAGTTGAGCATCCACAGATTGGAAATATGGAGAAGAGGTCCTAGAACCCCTTGCCCATGGATACCAAGGGGTGAATGTATTTTATATAGAAACTAACACTCAATAGGTTAAGGAACTTGCCAGAAGCAGCCTTCTAGAAATAAGAACAGGGACATGAACCTGTGACTTCAAGGACTCCACTCTCTGTCCTGAGTATCACCCTTTCTGAGGACTGTGTGACCCACTGGGTCTTCTGTGTTCTCCCACACTGGTCCAACTCAGTGCCTACTGGGAGATGGCGATGACCTCTACTGAGGCAGCTGGGGGAAAATTGTGCAGAACGCTCTGGCCAAGCTGCAGGCGTTTCAGCTCTGGCCAGCTGGCACTGGAGAGTTGGCAAGGCTGGCACCCTGTCCAGGGGCTCTGTCATCTCAATCTACAGCCTGCACCCGCACAACCACATTTTCCACAGCACGCCCAAGCTTTGAGGGAACCGGGGTGGGGAGGGGCAGAGCAGAGAGCTCGGGATGGGCTCGGGGAGGGGCGGGCAGGAAAACCAACCTTTGAAAGCCACCTCACTTTCAGACCATGAGTGGGAGGAACAGCTGTGTAAAATGAAAGAAAAGTTAAAAAGGGAGCAGTGAGAGAGATAGAGGGAGAGACTACTGGATACCATCAAAGATGGCACAAGGAAGGAAGAGAAGCAGAAAAGAAGGAGAAGGGAAGAAAACAACCTCTGGGTGAATAGAGGTGACAACCACACCTTCGAATAGCACGGAGATCTCCACTGCAGGCACAGAAAGAGCTATAAGAGGGAAACATAGTAGCCCTGATCCTAGCTTCTTTCCCTACACCCACATCTTAGGGCCTGTGAACCTTCTCCTCTCCTCCCCTCCATCCGCCCCCAGGACACTCCCGCCCCCTCTCCAGCCCAGGCCAGGGCGACACCACTTCATGTCACAGGCACAAGGGACAAGCTTGAATTTTGTAAAAAGGACTTACCAGAAGCAATCACAAACAGAAGGGAAATTGCTAAACCTGCTACTAGCAGCTCTCTAGGCTTAAGAAAACAAAATGGGATGTACCCGTTGCCTGACCTCACTGAAATTCTACTGCTGATAGTCACTGACTGCCTGTCATGTGCCAAGCATCGTTCTCAGCTCTGCCTATCAAGCAGCGAACACGACGAGAAGCTTCTGCCCAGACTCACCTCCTCCAGCGTTCTGTGGCCAGGCATCCCGCACAACCAACGCTCTGTGTCTCTTTTACTCATACCTGCCTAGAACTTTGCATCTGTAAGTGACCAAAGCTTCATTCAAACCACCTTAAACGAAACTGAGAATGTATTGTCTCCAATAACTAATAGACTGGCTTGGCATGTGATGAGATCCGACACTCCCATGTGTTCCTTCAGGAGTCTTCCCCGTCTCCCTCTCTGCACTGGGTCCATGTCTCAGGTCTTCGTGGTATCCTCTCTCAGGTGTTAATAGTGGCTGCCAGTCCTGAGCCTACCACGTCTGAAGTACCTGCTCCTGACAGAAAAAGAAAGTGACGTCACTAATGATGCTGATAAATATATAGGGGAGCTATCCGATTGATCTGGATTGGGTTACAGGACCATCCCTGGGCAAAGTCAACCGACCTTACCCTCACAGAGTCCTAATTTCCACGCACAGTTGCAGTCATAAACCAGAAGCCACAAACAACCAATCCACAGGTGGCACCCTCACTCCTTTCTCTTCTCCCTTCTCCAGGAAATAAAAATGACAAGTTTTAAGGAATAACTTACACAAGGCTATGTTTAAGGACCTGCCTGATGAAGATCTTATTCCACTTTTAGTATAACTCCATAAATCACTAATTATAAAGACATATGCTAACATACTTTTAGTTGATTTTAATTCACATTAGAAACTATGTATCATCACCAAGCATGGTGGTGCACACCTACAAACCCAGCACTTTGGAGGTTGAGGCAGGAAGACTGCAAGTTCGAGCCCAACCTGGGAAACCCAACCAATTTAGCAAGATTTTGTCTCAAAAATAGAAAAAACTTAAAAGGACTCAGCATGAAGCCCCTGGATTCAACCCCAGCACTCTCTCTCTCTCTCTCCCTTTCTCAGATTCCTGGGAGAGGCTGTAAAATCAAATGAATGGACTCAGGTGTGAACAGAGCTAGCAGATGAGTAATATGCTTAGCATTTTGATACCGAATTGTTTGTCACAGCCAACACCAGGTAGAACAGCTTGGAGTGAGGGATCCTGAGGGTGGCTCCATGTACAATAGGACACTGCAGGGCATTTGCTAAGGAAAACCTCACTGACAGCTCCAATCTCACCTCCTTGGAGATGTTTCAAGGTCTCTTGTGACATTGATGTGTCTTCTGCATCTTTGCAGTGATTCGTCTCCAGCAGAAGCACTAGGTGAATTGCCTTGGTAAACAACACAGGACAGAAGTGAGGAAGAAGAGAGACAGAGGCTGGGAAGAGGGCTGGAGAGGAGAGAAGGGGAGTCTGGAGGGAGAAGAGAGAAGGGAAAGATGGAGGAGAGGAGAGGAGAGAGAGGAGCCTGGAGGGAAGGGGAGAATGGGAGAAGATGAAAAAGAAAGGAGAGAGGAAAGGGAAGAGGAGAAGAAAGTCAGCAGAAGAGGTGGGGCCTGGAAAGAGAAAGGAGAGGAAGGAGGAAATCAGCACCCGTGGTGCCCTGAAGCCACACCCTGGTGTCCGCATCCCAGTTGCTGTCACCTTGCGGTCATGGCCATGACGTCAGCGCTATGGCGCATTTTCCTTGTGTGCGGTCCGTGTAACATTAGCCCCCTTACCAGAGCCTCAGGACAGTTCCATGCGGTGATAGCTGCGAAGCTCTGTAGCCCACGTCCTAGTGCATGATGTTCACTCACTGTCAACTTCTAACCTCGTCCTTCTTTCATCCCAAGGACACTGTCGGGGGCTCCAGGGAGGGACAAAGTCACCCCCCACCCCAAGACCTCACAGCCTCTCAGAGCCATGAACAGCTCTCTGAAGAAGTTCAAAATGCATTTTGGAAAAAAAAAAAAAAAAATCTGCAACTAAAAAACCCAGACCGTTTCTAGAACGCAATCCAAACCAAATCTGCTTGAAGGTCATAACGTGTTCTGAGGTTTCATTCCACTATTTTTCACTTATACGGTCCCCAGCCTTGCCAGGGCCGAGCTAGGACCGGCAGTTAGCATCGCCAAGCCCCACGGGGGAGAAAGCCCAAGCCCCTTGCCTTGTGTGTCTCCAGCCCAGTGGGGATCAGAGCCTGGGGAAGGGTCCCCAGCAGCCACCTTTCAGAGCAGCTGAGAGCCTGGGTTTGTGGGGCACAAGGCGTGAGGCAGCCTCAGCTTCCCCTCCGGCTCCCAGCCTGGGGACACAGAGGCTTACGGTGTCCTGGGCTCTGGTGACCCAACCACAGGCTGAGTGAGAAAAGAAGCTGCCAGGAGTGGGATAAATGGACTGATTTTTCCAGAAAGAATCTTCGGGCCAATGTAGAATGCAGTCACCGAGCTGAGCCACACACACCTTCTTCAGGAAAACAGATTCCTCAGCGCTTGTGAATGAGAGCGCCATAACTCACTTCTCACAGGAGCCATCAATAGGGTGGAGGTCTCAGAGACAGCTGCTTACAGAGAGAAGACAGGAACACAGGGAGGGCTGCAGAGACTGGGGTGGGGTCACACAGGAGCATCCAGGGAGGTGCAGGAAAGGTTGTGAGGTGTCTTGTAGCACCTTGTGCTGGCCAGTGGGCTCCATGGACTTGGAAGGAATCTGGGAAATGGCCATTCTGCACCGGAGATGGGGGCAGGTGAACTGAGACACCATCACTTAAACTGCAGATAAAGTGTGTGTGTGTGTGTGTGTGTGTGTGTGTGTGTTCTGAAAGAGAGAGACAGAGACAAAAACAGACGGAGACAGAGACAGATTGAGACAGGGAAACCGAAAGAGAATTTCTTAAGCAGGCAGAGTCTATAAATTTCCTTGTAATTTAAACCCCTATAATTTACTGGCTTAAGAACCTAAGAACAAATCCCAATTTGAATTCCAGTTCTACCAGTTTACCAGCTGGCTGCCTTTGGTTAAAAAACTAGTAGAACTCACCTTTTTCCTTTATCTAAAGCACAAGGATAAAGTAGAACCTACTGATCAGAATTTAATGTGCTAACGTATGTAACAGAGGCCATTGGCACGTTGTACTCATTCAATAAATATCATAATAAAATTACTGTTCACAAACACTATTCTTAAAAACTGTGAGACTCCAAATAAGGCTCTGAATCACTGGCTGGGGTACTTCCAAACTCAGTTCCCGTTCTGGGAGTCTCTGTGTCTCTGGACCCCAAGCTCCCTCCCAGCTCCCAGTCCCTGTTGAGCAGAGGTAGCGGGTGACAAGCCTCCCTCTCTGCTCTTCCCAGTCACATTCCCTCCCTCCACACATGTGCACATGGCTGGCCGAGCTCGGGGACCTCAGGAGGCATTTTTCGTGCATCTGGCCTAAGCACTGGAGACCAAACCATTCAGAAGCTTCCTGTAGTCAGATGGCATCTGAACAAGACTATGATCCACGCAAGTAATTCTTGCATTTGAATGAACATCGAGTCACCTAGAAATCTTGCAATGAAACAGACTTCTGAGCCCCCCAAGAGTTCCTGAGTGAGGCCTAAGAATTTTGCACTTCAAACTGATGCTCTTGCATTGGGGACCACAAGTTGAGAACCAGTGATCTCAGGATTCCTGGCAATCTTTCTGGCCACACCAGGGCAGTCACTTATCTTAGTGCTGGCACCGGGAACCACTGTAATGGAACAGGGTAGAGCTGGGGTCAGCATCCTTTAGGGACCATCTTAGATGCTGGATTGCCACACAGGATCTTGAGGCCCTGGGAGAAGAAGGAGAGAACTATTATTGTCCCAGTACTTCGCTGGTAGCCGCTGGAGGGCAGGAACTGTCTGGAGCTTCCTGAGAGACACACTCCCTCCTCCCTGCTTCCGCATCAGAGTTTTTTCACAGTATGTGTTTGATCAATATTCATTGATGAGACCAGAGGAAGAACCTGCCTACATCCTGGGCCACAAAACGCAAACTGTAATCACTCAGTAAGTATTTATAGAGCATCAACTATACACAGTCCCCAAAGGCTCTAACCCTAGCCATTATTTATTCATCATTATTATTCTTAAGGATCAGCACGGCGCTTAGCACATAATCAATTCTCCATGGGTGCAATTTTCTTTCCGGCACCCTGTTTACCAAAGTGTTATTCCAAGCTGCGCGGTCTTATTCTCCTTCCCTAGCTTTCTTTTCCTCTTTGGACAAATGACTTTTGCTAGTACTTCTCAGAGATTTATGGAGCTTTTCAATTTGCTAATCACCACATGACCACACATGACTTCCTTATCTTCTGCTCTCCTGCTTTATAAAGGAGAAACCTCCTGTAAAACAATCCCTTCACCTGTGCTGTGGTCATCCCTCCCTCTGGCATCCTCAGTCACTTAGATTCTTCAATTTTGTCCCTCTTCTTCCCACATGTGGAGCCTCCCTCTCCCCCCGACGCATCTCAAAAAAAGGACCAGGTCTTTAAAAAATAAGCAAACAAGCCAGCAAAATGCCTTGTGTCTTCTGTAAATCTCTGCATAGTTTTCACTCTGAGTTTTTTTCCCCTCCTCTGGAGAGTTCTTGGAAATCTCAGCCACCCCGTGCTGATTTTCCTTCCTGCTTTCGTCACCACAGCAGACTGGCTCCCAGCCACCTCTTCACTTACGCCGGGCTTGTCAAGGTCACGGTGATCTCTGTATTTACAAGCCCAGTGGTAGATACACATGTATTACCTTATTTGACCTCCTAATGCATTTGGTACAAGGGGCCACTCCTTCCTTAAAACTGCCTTTTCCATTAAGGCCATCCCCAGTCCCAGCTGTCTCCCACACACAGTGCTTCAAATTCCATGTAGCGAAGCTGGACTCCATCTTTCCCTCCAAGACAAACTATCCTCACCTACATCTAATTTATGACAATGTCACTGTCTTACGCATCAGCTCACCCAAACCAGGAATTCCAAAGTCATCGCCAATCTTCCTCTGTTCACTCTCCAGATTCAATTGTTTATTTAATCTTGTTATTGTTCTTCCCTTAACAACTTTGGGATTCACCTGTGTAGCTTCTTCCTACTGTTGCTATGATTTTTCAGGACATTATACCACTCACCTGAATTATGTCCACAGTCTCCTAGGTAGTGGGACCATCTCCAGCCTCTGCTTATGCCGAACAATCCGTCCTAAAGTCAGTAGACAGAAATAGAACCTGGGTAAGGAGAGAAACTGCCTGCCTTCAGATGTAGGCACAAGCTTTTCACCAACTGTGTGACACTGAGCAAGTTTATTTGTCTTCTCTGTGCCTCAGTCTCTTCTAGTGTGAAGCAAGGGTGTAGGCCAGTCCCTGGCAGACAGTACGTGTTTGGGTAAGTAGTTGTTATTAATGCTGCCCAGGTAAACACTAAAACTTAAAATCCAAACTTAAGGAAATCATGCCCCACTTTAAAGTGAATCAGTTCTCCAACATAGCAGACAAGGTCCTGCCTGGGATACTCCCTTCCTGCTTTTTGGGGTTCAGGTTCCAATTCATGTTCCAGCCATAAAGTGCAAACCATGCACTCTTAAATGTCTGAAACTCTTCCATGCCTGGTATATTCTTACTCTTTCCCCAAGCCACACGCACTCCTATCCATTCCTTGAATCCTGTATATTGTCTGTGAAGTCTAACGATTTCTGCCACCCCAAAAGGGAAAAATTATACATAATTCTCTCCTCACATATGCTTGTGTGTAAACACGTATCTGTGTGCATAGATACACACAGCATACTGTATTGCACTTGTGTATTTGCACACATGTGTCTCTTAGAATCTGAATTCTAAGGAGGCAATCTGACTAGTCTCAGTGTACACAAAACCTGCCACATACCAGACCCTGACATGCATTTACATTCTTGTGTGCCTCGTGATTTGTGAAATGGTAGCTGCAGCAGACAGTTGCCAAAGATGGCCCTCATCTATTTTCTCCTTCATTGTACCTGCATACTGCTCCACCTCTCAGGGAGTGGGAGGCCACTTCCTCCCTCTCTGCTTCCATTCAGGCTGCTCTTGTGTCTTCTTGGACCAGGAGAATATGGCGGAAGCAACGTTTTAGAAATTTTAAGCCTGGCCTTAGGAGAACGGGAAGCTTCTGCTTTCTCTACTTTCTGAACCCAACCACCACAGAAGAAGCCCAAACACACTCAGAGCCCACACAGCAAGGGAGCAAGAGCCCACTGACAACCAGAGCAAGCCTGTTTGCTCAGCACTACCTGCGGGAAGAGCTCGGCAGTGTGTCAGAGTCAGGCTGCCCGCTCCTTTGGGGGAAGCAGCACACTTTTTGCCTGGAATTTGTCTCAAATCCCAGAACCCTTCCGTCCTGGGCTGTCTGTCAGCAGGGCGCTCTCCCTTGGGACACCTAACACTGCTGACATCACCT